GGTCAAGGGACAGAACCTAAGAGTCAATGGAGAGAAACTAAGGGTCAAGGGACAGAACCTAAGAGTCAATGGAGAGAAACTAAGGGTCAAGGGACAGAACCTAAGAGTCAATGGAGAGAAACTAAGGGTCAAGGGACAGAACCTAAGAGTCAATGGAGAGAAACTAAGGGTCAAGGGACAGAACCTAAGAGTCAATGGAGAGAAACTAAGGGTCAAGGGACAGAACCTAAGAGTCAATGGAGAGAAACTAAGGGTCAAGGGACAGAACCTAAGAGTCAATGGAGAGAAACTAAGGGTCAAGGGACAGAACCTAAGAGTCAATGGAGAGAAACTAAGGGTCAAGGGACAGAACCTAAGAGTCAATGGAGAGAAACTAAGGGTCAAGGGACAGAACCTAAGAGTCAATGGAGAGAAACTAAGGGTCAAGGGACAGAACCTAAGAGTCAATGGAGAGAAACTAAGGGTCAAGGGACAGAACCTAAGAGTCAATGGAGAGAAACTAAGGGTCAAGGGACAGAACCTAAGAGTCAATGGAGAGAAACTAAAGGTCAAGGGACAGAACCTAAGAGTCAATGGAGAGAAACTAAGGGTCAAGGGACAGAACCTAAGAGTCAATGGAGAGAAACTAAGGGTCAAGGGACCAAACCTGAGGGTCAAGGGACAGAACCTGAGTGTATAGAGACAGAATGCCAGGAGCTAGGTAAAGATGAGAAATAAGAAACAGTACAGCAGTGAATAAAATATACCTATTTAACTATTGCCTTTTAATTTTAAATACATTTAATTTCAATTAATGAACACTGATTATTATTCTTTGAGAGTTAATAATCACAAAATAATTTGTTCTTGTACTTTTCAAAAAATATAATTAATATCTACTTGTTAATTGTTTACAATTAATAAAAATTTAGCGAAAATTAGATCTTTATTTAAAACACAAAACTGGTAGAAATTATTTGAAAAAAACCCCCTCCACTCCATTATATTGTTTCAAAAAATTTTGATTTCAGAAAAGCGATGTGCTACAAAATGTTTTTGCTTCTCCATTACATGTGTGGCAGCACAGAAAATATTACATGTGTGGCAGAACAGAAACTATTTAGAACTAATGAATATGTTTGTAATAATTGCTGGAACGCTTACTTTTCTTGATTTCTGGAATGCTATTGGATTACCATCAAAATTCCCCAGTAGGTCTTGCTCCACATGGAGAGGCACAGCAGAATCCATCTTTGAAGAAAGGTTTGTTGGGGACAAAGATGCAGTGCAGGTTTCTGACTTGCTCCTAAATGGCCCCCTGCTAAGGGTGACATCACCCTGCTTAACAGCAGGTGGTGGGGAGAGAGACCTGGTGCGTTCAATGCCAGGAGAGCCCGAAAAGACTTTTGAGGTTTCATCCAAAACAGATGCTACAGTACCTTTTTTGGTGTCCGTTTCTGTTTTTACAACAGTTGAGGAATTTTCGGCAGTGTTGAGCAATGGGGATGATAATGGCTGGGACGGTGATGGTAATGTGAAATAACGAGACTGATGGCAGCACCCATCTGCTTCCAGTTCTCCATCCATGGCAGGAATATAGCTACTAGAATTGCTTGTTGGGCTCAGGGTCGCCGTTGAGCTAGTGAGACAGGTCTCAGCTTGCCTGTTGGCCAGCAGGTGCTGAGATATGGCACTGTGGATGTAGCCGAGGGTTTCTGTCAGGGCCTCCCGTTTGGCCTGTATGTCCCAGAGAATGCCCTTCGAGAGCCGCAGCAGATTTGGGTAGCTCAGCTGACCTCTCGGAGTTTGGATGGAGTTTGGAGTATCTTTACCCTCAGGCGTGGAGGATTTGATCTGAATATTGGGACCAGATGGGGACGCATTAGCAAGGTCATCCCCTGCTGCTCTGACCGGAGCAGATGGTGAGAGAGACCTGCCTGAGGGTGATGATGCAGTTTTTATTGGTGAGAGCTGATGTTTCTGCTGGGACAGACTGGAAGGCACAACTGGGGGGTCAACTGATGAAGAGTCTGATGAAGATTTTTTTAAACCGATCGGTGACAATACTGAAGTGATGGGAGATATTGATGATGTTTTATCATTAGATGCCACCCCTCCATTGATCAAATCATGTGACCGGTGGCCATATTCTGCAGAGTTGGACTTTGTGCTGTCCACAGTACTAAATATATCGGAAATTGAAGGTGAATTAAAATCCAGGTAAATTTTTCCATTTTGATCCAAGAAATTTTTACCACCACTTAAACTTTGAGCAATCTCTATTTCCAGCCTACAACCTTCAGAATTTATTTGACTAGTTTCCACAGGTAGTCTTTCCTTGAGCTGGTCATTAACAGGCAGTGTATCCTTACCCTGGCCATTAGAAAGGGAGAAAACTTTCTCTTTCATCCCATTGGGCATGCCATCAAGGATATCCTCCTCCTGCTGCGTGCTGGGAAAACTCTCTCTTAGAAAGTTCAGCACAGCCAGGTAGTAGTAGGCCCTCAGGCAGTCCAGGTCACGGCACCTCACGTTGGATGAGGAGATGGCCCCGTCCTCCTTGATGTCGGTCAGGAATTTCTTGATGGTGTTGTGACCTTCACCCCCAGCCTTGTCCACATCACCGTGGCTCTCCATAGTTATCAAGACCCGGGAGGCATTAAATTCTTGCTGTAACTTTAACAAGTACTTTGGGCCTGAGAAAAATACACAGGTCAAAAACATTTTACTGAAACAGCTGTTTTTAAAATTGAAAAGTTTTTTTAATTTGAATAATATTGGATTATTACAATTTTAATACAATCTTATAAATATCTATATAATTATCAGAGAAATATCACCAAGGATAGATTTAATTTATAGATTGAACATCTTGAATCACATTGTGTAAAATAAGATGTCATGACTTAGCTGTTGGAAGCTAAAAAACGTCATGTTTTATCTTGCGGAAGCTAAATGTCATAACTGACCTTGAGGAAGCATCAAACGACACAAGGCTTGAAGCAATGACCTATGGCTGCTACTATGGAGAGTTGACATTGCCTGAAGCAGGTGGATAATGGCACTGGATGTCTCGGAGGTCAGGAGCACCAGAAGGCTCAGAGTGACATCCATACTGACAAGTATCATAAGCTGAGAAGTCAGAAAACACATGTGTATTTAGTATATGAAACAGTATTACAGTTTAATATATTTTATGTTACGGCAATTGTGGTCCAGTGAACACAAAACCTGGGACTAAATCGAAATCAGATGTTACAAAATATCTCAAGCACAAATTCATATTTACATTTCTTATTCATGCTAAAGACTAGAATTTTACTTTACTTATATGGAGTCTGAAAAGAGGAACTGATCACAAAATTTTAATTGAAAATAAATTGACCAGCAGAATGTGACACTAAATAATGATACAAAACAGCACCTAAAAGAACCACAACACACCAACAACAGCACAGAAATGAAACCTACACTGGGCAAGTCTCCCAAGTTTTGTCTCAATGAAATCAGCTGAGAAATGGCAGTGTGCATGGCCTTCAGTTCCTGGGTTACCATGGTGATGTCTAAATGCTGGTGCCAGATACGCAGCAAATGGTGGGGGAATGTGTGCTCTCCAATCAGATATGGTTCCCATGGAACAACAGGGTCAATGTCTGACCTGTCCACAAGAAATTCTGGAATGAAATGTTTAATATTTTAGAGGATTTTTCCCTGAATTCTTCCTTAATTATTAAAGTAATTTGTAAAAAAATTATATCAATATAATGTCCAACAGTGACATTCAATGGATCAAATGTTTCTTGGCAACAGAGTGGCCTCCTCTCAGTGAACAGGGTTAGAGTGTCCCCTTCCACAAGATTTTTGGAACCTGCTTTCACTAA